CTAGTGATCCCGTGTTGGTGTTTTTTTTTTTTTTTTTTTTTTTTTTATTGAGAGGTTTTTGCCATAGGGCACGTGCGCCAGATAAACAGAGAGAGACAGAGAGAGACAGAGAGAAATCACCCCCCGGGGGGATGGCCACGCCGCAATCCCTTCTCCTCCATTCTCCTCTCAGAATCTTGGGCACGCACGCACACGTGCCCGGCGTGAGTTTTAAGCCATCGGGTCCGGGACGCGAACTGCGGTCAACTACATGGGAGTCCAGCGATATAGCCATAAGGCTAACTGCTGGTTCCCCCTCCTGAGGTGCCTGGGAGAATGGTGTCACAGGACATGGGACATTGAGGGCTCTAACTGGAAAAGTTGTCGCGAACAAGGACAGTTGGTGGCTGTACCAGATCTCCTGGGAACGTCGTCCAGATTCACTCAGATACTCACTTTCACCGAGATATTTGTGTATCTGCAGCTTAGTGATCAATCGCCAGGGCATTTTACGTAGAATTGTACTGGACACCCTGCAATGAGATACTTTAGCGAACTCCAAGAAATGGGGGACACAGTCTTAAGACACGACGTCTTCCCCTGGGACAAAGGAGCCATTGAAGAAAGACCCCATGGGCAGGGCTGCTGCCAGGGCGAGGGCTCACAGGTATGGGGGAAGGGCAACTCTGAAGGAGCAGGGAAGCTGTCACTCAAAATCTCCCTAGGAGATCGGGTCACAGATAAGGGACAGCCTTTGTCCTTACTTTCTCAGCAATGGCTTCAGCTCCATTTCTTTTTTTTTTTTAAGAATCATTTTTTATTTAATCTTATTCCTCATTATTATTTTTTTTCTCAATTTGATTGGACAGAAACACACAAAGAGAGAAGAAAAGCGAAAAAGCAAGCCGTCAGGTCTGAATCTTGAACCCCAGTTGACATGGGGGAGTTCAGTGCATTAACCAACACACCACCTGTCAACACTGAAAGTTTCAGTTGTTTTTTTTAGAATTACTTTTTGGTTAACTTTATTTATTTATTTACTTACTTATTTATTTTAATTTGACCAGAGAGGAACAGAATGAGAGAGAGAGAGAGAGAGAGACAGAGAGAAAGTGAGAAAGCAAGCTGCCAGATCTAGGAATAGAACCGTAGTCAGTGATGTGGGAGTCCAGCACCCCAACCACCTTGCCACCTGCCGGCTCCAACTTCAGTTCTTTTAATAGATGCTGTTGCTTTGAGAATAGATATGCAGATCATAACCCACTAGGAACAATTTGATGTTTTTTGGGGAATTTTTACCATACGGGAAGTGCACTTGCTAGAGAGAGACAGAGAGAGAGAGTGAAAGTGATGAAGCACCACACTGAGGATGGCCTTGCCGTAATCCCATCTCCTCCATTTTATTCATGAGATTACGGACACAAACACACGCCCCTGGTGTGTCTTTGAAGACCCCAGGTCTGCGATTCCAATCACTCAGTTACCCATGTGGGATCCAGGCGCCTTACCCACCATGCCACCAGCTGGATCAAGGACAACTACTGACCCTGAACATAATGGATTTGCAACTCAGCAAGACAACATCCTTTCAGGAGAACTGAATCCAGGGAAGGAGGATGGCCTTGGCAGACAAGGGCGTTTATACTGAGGATTTCCCTGAAAACTGAGAAATGACACCAAGCAGGAGTCTCCTTAATGTCTATTCCTGCCCTCCAAAAGCTGTACTAAGTCGTACACTTTGACCCATGTTCCAGGTGGGGAATAAAATATCATGAGCCTCAGAAAATAACGAGAGCGCCTGTTTCTTTTTGCACTCCACTGTGGGAATGGGAGGAGCAGAGAGCACACTGAACCCTCCTGGGGCGGGGGGAGAGACTGTGAGCTCAGGGAAGGTTTTGGTCTCACTTCCCCATAGGCTTGGCCCACTGTGCCAAGTATTACTACCAGCGTTTAAGAGGCAGAAATAATCAGCTTCATCCTCGTCCTGGAGCTCAGAGATGGTCATGGAGGCCGTGTTGCCAGACTTGGAGCCAGAGAACCGAGTGGGGATTCCAGAGGGCCGGGAGCTGACAGCATAGATCAGAAGTTTGGGGGGACTGCCTGGATGCTGTTGGTACCAGGAGATACTATGATATCTCTCCCCAATGTCATTGCTGCTTCCAACACAGGAGAGGGTGACCTTCTCTCCCAGAGCCCCAGACACTGAGGAAGGCTGAGTCAAGGCAGACTGGGCCCAGAACCCTGAAAAGAAGAAAAATACACTCTGGTGAGTCCTTGCTGGGCCACAGAGAGCCTGAGGAGGAGGAGACAAGCAGCACCCTGATGTCCCTGGCCTCGTCCCCTGAGGAATCACCTATGCTTTGGGACAGGAGGGTGAGGAAAAGCAGAGCCCAGGCCATGGTGGAGACGCCCCTGAGCACGGCCTGCTGAGACCTCAGCTTGGGCCTGGCTCCATCAGACACTCTTATCTGTCCCCCGCCTCAGAGGAGGGATGGGTCTCCATGCAAATCTGCCTCCTACACATGCGCCTCCTCCCTACCCTGACCTGTGCTAGACTCAGACACTTCTGCACCCCTGGACAGCAGGGGTCAGTGAGGGGTGAAAACTCTCTGACATGCGTGTTATGAGTAAGGACAGAGCCCCTGACAGTGCCTGGTAATGGGGCCAACCCTGGATGCCCTTACCCTTCCTTTTGTGGATTCCACAGTGGCTCCTGGCTGAGGTTTCCCAGGAATCCCCTCCCTGCTATGTCGTGTGGGGGTGAAAACAGGGCCCCAGAATGGCTAGGAGAGATATAATCTCTTTCTTTTTTTAATTCTCTAGAAGGTACATGCACTCACCATAGAGAAACAGAGGGAGAGAAAGAGAAGGGGAGAGAGAGAGAGAATATATGAAAGGACTTGTTTATCAATGGTCAATCCACAATCCCTTCTTCTCCATTTCTCCCCCTCCTCCGGATACTGAGAGCGCTCACACAAGTGCCCGATTGTTTTGCAAGCTGCCACATCTAGGTCTCCAGTCATCTGATTGGCCATGGGGGATCCAGTCACATAACTCACCCCGCCATGTTTGACCCAGTCTCTCCTCTTAAAGGGACCAACGGCAGAATCTGGATGTCTCTTTTCCTTCTCCACCCTCAGACTCTTTGGTCCCTTGTTATGGGACTGATTCTAGATCTTGCTCTGTCATCAGCCTCTGCAGTGAATTCAGGCTGGATCCTGATACTGAGACTTTGGGTTCTTAATGGTCCCGCAAGAAAGAGATGTATGGAGACACAACAGTTCTGGGCTCTTCATTCTGAACGCCTCCAGAAATATTCCAGGTTGGGACTAGCAGTTAGCTGTCGCTGGACTCCCATGTAGTCGACCGTGGTTCGAGTCCCAGACCCAGTGGCTTAAACTCATGCTGGGCGCGTGTGCGTGCGTGCCCAAGATACCGAGAGGAGAATGGAGAAGGGATTGCGGCATCGCCATCCCCCCTGGGGGGGAGGGGTTCTTGCTTTCTATCTCTCTGTCTCTCTCTGTCTTTCTGGCGAGTGCACGCACCCTATAGCAAAAACCTCTCTAAAAAAAAAAAAAAAAAAAAAATCCAGGTTAAAGCAGGTCTTCGGAATCACACAGCCCAGGGTAAACAAACCCCAGAAGCTACCTTTGGAAAGTTAATCTTTTGCTGCCCCCCAGTGGCTTTTTTCTTAATTTAAAGGGCCAGGA